ATATATATATGTATATGTATATATATATATATATATATATATATATCACAGCTGACCCTGGTACAGATGTGCACTGTCTCTGTCAGACACATCAATATTTATCAGACTTTGAGCTTCATCAGAAATCAAACAAAAGAACATCGAGCCGTTTAACAATCAATAATCATTTTAGGTCATTTGGAGGAGAATGAATATTTATTTGGATAAAGAATTAATAATAGTTTGTTTGTTAAAAACATGGACATTTTGTTTCTATTTCGTACTTGATTTTTGATTTAATAAGTTTTCTTTGTTGTGTTTATGTAGCTAAAGGAACAATAGCTAATGCTAATGCTAACAGGAGATCCTCATGAACTCCCAGCAGACGTCTGACTGCGTGTGTTCTGTGTCTCAGGATTGACAGAAAGATGTCCTCCAGTCAGACCAACTACAAGCTGGACGAGGCTCAAGCCATCTTCAGCGAGCTGCGCAGCATCAAGAAATCCATCAGCACGGGCGAGAAGGAGAGGCAGGACCTCATCCAGGTACCGTCCTCCCCGCTGAAGGAGGAGGCGCAGAGACGTTCTCTGCTGACCTCTAGTGTCTGTCAGCCGCCGCTGTCCTGCTGCGTCTCAGCGGTGTCTTCTCATTAAAACACATTTCCAGACGTCTGAGTCAGCGACCACCATTTCTGTCAGTGCAAATAATTAATAAAGGAGTAATATGTGAGGAATGACAGACGGTGATTCAGTCGCATCGTCGCTCCACGTCTACGAAGGCATTTCCTGTTCATGTCTATTTATGAACATACACTTTAAATGTTAAAATCAATCTTTATACAAAGATTTCATCATTTAAAATGCACATCGTTTGTCCCGCTTTGTTGCTCTTTACACGTGAGTGATGTTGTATTATTATTATTGTATTCCCATATTTTCTAATATTCTTATCACTTTTCCTCCCGCAGTGCTTAGCGAAGCTGACGGTGAACTTCCAGAACAGTTTGTCCGTCCAGGACTCGGCCGGCGAGGTGACGAACAGCACCGGGACCGCTGGGGACTCGTGTAACCTGCAGCAGTACTGTGACACCGGCTGTCAGACGGACATCATGGGAGAGGTAGGAGAGGAGGGAGGAGGGAGGAGGAGGAGGAGGGAGGAGGAGGTCAGAATTCGATCTCCTTTTAGGTCTAATCTAAACAAACAGATCTGATTCTAGATTCAGCGTGACTCAAAGTTCTCCCAGTAAAAGTCTGATTTACTCCAATACATTTTCTTCCTAATTATTCATTTCTATACAGAATCATCATGTTTTTCAAGTTTTCTTCCGCGTCAAAGTATTCAGTGATATTTGTCTAAACATCCATAAGAACAACCACAGCTGCTCAAAGCTGATTCAGCATATTTGTTTAATGTTGCCAGTGTCCCAAAAAAGTAAACAAATGTGGCTAAAAGTTGAGCCCAGAGCAAAGTAACTGGAGGGTGATGAGGGCTGAAACATTAACGATCTCTGATGGATAATAACAATGAGGATGAATCTGAAACTACAGTAAAATCACAGTTGTATCAATTTTGTCAGAAAACCTAAAAGAGCAATCAGCTGCTGAGTTGATGAGCAGATGATCTGCAGGATCTCCTTCATACATCTGAAGTACGGATCCACCTCTGTTAAACTTAAAGGCACTTTAATCACTTGTGTTCCTCTGTGCTTCTCAGGATTCCACGCATTTAGTGGACAAAGTCAAAGTCAACTGGCAGTACGAGGAAGCCAAGAAGAAGTAAGTGAGTGTGTGTGTGTGTGTGTGTGTGTGTGTGTGTGTGTGTGGGGGTGTTTGTTGTCTTCGTTCTGCGACACACAGACCGGGGGGGGGGGG